ACCCCATAGAAAACCTTTGGAGGGAGTTGAAAGTCCGTGTTGCCCAGCGACAGCCCCAAAACATCACTGCTCTAGAGGAGATCTGCATGGAGGAATGGGCCAACATACCAGCAACAGTGTGTGCCAACCTTGTGAAGACTTACAGGAAATGTTTGACCTCTGTCATTGCCAACAAAGGATATATAACAAAGTATTGAGATGAACTTTTGATATTGACCAAATACTTATTTTCCACCATAATTTGCAAATAAATTCTTTCCAAATCAGCCAATGTGATTGTCTGGATTTTTTTTTTTCTCATTTTGTCTCTCATAGTTGAGGTCTACCTATGATGCCAATTACAGGCCTCTCACATCTTTTTAAGTGGGAGAACTTGCACAATTGGTGGCTGACTAAATACTTTTTTGCCCCACTGTATGTCCAATGACATCGGTAAATGCAATTGCCGGTTATCGGCTGCACTTTCCTCACGCTGTCACTTTCCTCACGCTGTCACTTTCCTCACGCAGAGGCGGGGCAAGTGGTTAAAGTGGGGGAGGCAGAGCTGGGTGTTTATGAGACCAGTATAGCTTAATTAATTGAGTAAATAGGGCGCACATCTGACGCCCCATTAGCACCTAACTTCCGCCCATCTTGCGCCGTTGGAGCCTAACTTCCACCCAAGCTGCGCCCCGCTAGCTCCGAACTTCCGCCCATCCTATGTCCCGTTAGCGTTTAACGTCCATCTATCCTGCATCCTATTAGCACCTACATTCTCTCTACAGCGCCCGTCCAGCTTCTCTCACTGTAGCCGACAAACGCCGCCCACCACCTATAGAACTAAAGAACCACCCCAAAGGACTTTTACCGAATCAGAAGGCGTCAATAAATCTCTGCCCATACTGAGTTGTGTGAGCAGTGCTCCGGTGTATCTGTAATTTGTGTATCCTGTGAAAATGTGTATCCCCTCAAGCAACTGCGCATGTGCCGGTTTCAGGCCAAAGAAGCTGATGTCCAACTTGGCACAGAGCACAGAGCTGCCACAGTTAACCCCTTCCAGGCTGCAAACCGCTGAAGCTTATCCCACTGATCACTATAATGGATCGGAGAGAGGACAGTGACATGAGGGGGGTGGCAGTGACATGGGGGGCAGTGACATTGGGGGGGCAGTGACATGGGGGGGTACAGTGACATGGGGGGGCAGTGACATGGGGAGGACAGTGAAATGGGGGGGGGGCAGTGTCAGTGACATGGGGGGGAACAGTGTCAGTCACATGGGGAGGATGTCAGTGACATGGGGAGGGCAGTGGCAGTGACATGGGGAGGACAGTGTCAATGACATGGGGGGGGGCAGTGTCAGGCACAAGGGGGGGACAGTGTCAGTGACATGGGGGGCAGTGTCAGTGACATGGGGGGAGTGTCAGTGACATGAGGGGGCAGTGGCAGTGACATGGAGAAGACAGTGGCAGTGATATGAAGAGGAACAGTGTCGGTGACATGGGGGGGCAGTGTCAGTGACATGCGGAGGACAGTGTCAGTGACATGGGGGGGCAGTAGCAGTGACATGGAGAGGACCGTGACAGTGACATGGGGGGAGGAACAGTGTCAGTGACATGGGGGGGAACAGTGTCAGTGACATGCGGAGGACATTGTCGGTGACATGGGGTGCCAGTGTCAGTGACATGGGTGGGCAATGTCAGTGATGGGGGGAACAGTGTCAGTGACATGGGGGGGGGGCAGTGTCAGTAACATGTGGAGGACAGTGTCAGTGACATGGGGGGGAGCAGTGTTAGTGACATGGCGGGCAGTGACAGAGGGAGGACAGTGTCAGTGACAAGGGGGGTAGTGTCAGTGACATGGGGGGGCAGTGGCAGTGACATGTGGAGGACAGTGTCAGTGACATGGGGGGTGGCAGTGTCAGTGACATGGGGGAACAGTGTCAGTGACATGGGGGGGGGGGGAACAGTGTCAGTGACATGGGAAGGACAGTGTCAGTGACATGGGGGGGCAGTGTCAGTGACATAAGGTCAGTGACATGGGGAGGACAGTGTCAGTGACATGGGGGGGGGAATGTCAGGCACAATGGGGGGGACGGTGTCAGTGACATGGATGGGGGGGAACAGTGTGAGTCACATGGGGAGGACAACAGTGTCAGTGACATGGGGAGAAGCAGTGGCAGCGACATGGGTAGGACAGTGTCAGTGACATGGTGGGGCAGTGTCAGGCACAAGGGGGGGGACAGTGTCAGTGACATGGGGGGGGCAGTGTTAGTTACATGATGGGGCAGTGTCAGTGACAAGGGGGGGGCAGTGACATGGAGAGGAGAGTGGGAGTGATATGGAGAGGAACAGTGGCAGTGACATGCGGAGGACAGTGTCAGTGAAATGGGGGGGGGGCAGTGGCAGTGACATGGAGAGGACTGTGACAGTGACATGGGGGGGAGGAAGTGTCAGTGACATGAGGGGGCAGTGTCAGTGACATGGGGAGGAAGTGTCAGTGACATGAGGGGGCAGTGTCAGTGACATGCAGAGGACAGTGTCAGTCAGGACATGGGGGGGGCAGTGTCAGTGACGGGGGGAACAGTGTCAATGACATGGGGGAGTGTCAGTTACATGGGGGGGAGTGTCAGTGACATGGAGAGGACAGTGTCAGTGACATGGGGGGGGGCAGAGTCAGTGACATGGGTGGGGGCAGGGGCAGTGACATGGGGGGGGGGGGCAGTGACATGCGGAGGACAGTGTCAGTGACATGGGGGAGGACAGTGTCAGTGACATGGGGGGGGGCAGTGTCAGTGACATGGGGGGCAGACTTAGTGACATGGTGGGGGGGCAGTGTCAGTGACATGGGGGGGGGGGGGGGGCAGTGACAGTGCGGAGGACAGTGGCAGTGACATGGGGGGAACAGTGTCAGTGACATGGGTAGGACAGTGTCAGTGACATGGGGGGGCAGTGTCAGTGCACAAGGGGGGGACAGTGTCAGTGACATGGGGGGGGGGCAGTGACATGGGGGGAGTGTCATTGACATGAGGGGGTAGTGTCAGTGACATGGTGGGGGGCAGTGACATGGGGGGGGGGCAGTGTCAGTGACATGGAGAGCACAGTGTCAATGACATGGGGGGAGCAGTGACAGTGACATAGGGGGCAGTGGCAGTAATTGGGGGGCAGGCAGTGAGCAATGACATGGAGAGGACAGTGTCAGTGACATGGGGGAGGAACAGTGTCAGTGACATGGGGGGCAGTCAGGTATCAGGCACATGGGGGGGGGGGCAGTGTTAGCGACATGGGGGAGGACGTCAGTGACATGGGGTGGCAGTGTCAATGACATGGGGGGGGGGGGGGGGGGCAGTGTCAGTGACATGGGATGCAGAGTCAGTGACATGGTGTGAGGCAGTGTCAGTGACATGGGGGGGCAGTGTCAGTGACATGGGTAGGACAGTGTCAGTGACATGGGGGGCAGTGTCAGGCACAAGGGGGGGACAGTGTCAGAGACATGGGGGGAGTGTCATTGACATGAGGGGGACAGTGTCAGAGACATGGGGGGGCAGTGTCAGTGACATGTGGGGGTGTCAGTGACATGGGGGGGCAGTGGTAGTGACATGGAGAGCACAGTGTCAATGACATGGGGGGAGCAGTGACATAGGTGGCAGTAATGGGGGCGGCAGTAGCAATGACATGGAGAGGACAGTGTCAGTGACATGAGGGGGCAGTAGCAGTGACATGGAGAGGAAAATGGCAGTGACATGGGGAGGAACAGTGTCAGTAACATAGGGGACAGTGACATGGGGGGCAGTATCAGGCACATGGGGGGGTAGTGTTAGCAACATGGGGGGAGGACGTCAGTGACATGGAGAGCACAGTGGCAGTGACATGGGTGGGGGGCAGTGTCAATGACATGGGGGGACAGTAGGAATGACATGGAGAGCAGTGTCAGTGACATGGGAAGAACAGTCACTGACACTGCCCCCCCCCCCATATGTCACTGCTCCCTCCTCATGTCACTGACACTGCCCCCCCCATGTCACTGACTCTGCCCCCCCCCCCCCCCCCCCCATATGTCTCCACCACTGCTTCCGCCCCCATGCCACTGCCCTCCCCCAATCACTCACTATTCACCCCCATGTCACTGACACTGCCCCCCCCCCCCCCATATGTCACAACCACTGCTTCCGCCCCCATGCTACTGTTCCATCCATGTCACTGACAATGCCCCCTTCCCACTGACACCCCATGTCACTGCTCCCCCCCCCCCCGTCACTGACACTGTCCGAAGTCGCTGCAGAGAGTTTGGCATGTAAGAGCCCCGCCTACCACCCGACATGTAAGGGGTTAATAATTCTGTGTCCCCGCCGAGGCTGTGTGTCCCCCGCTGCCGACCACTCGGCACGTAAAGGGTTAATCTAACTCCGGTACATATTGGGATGCAGCAGCTTTATAAACGACTGATCGTGCCTGAAACCGGCACATGCGCAGTTGCTTCACAGGATACACAAATTACCGTTACCGGCTCTACAGGTTTAGCGGGGTTTGTCAGCTACAGTGAGAGAGGGGAGATGGGGCCTGTTCTGTTTGGGTGGCCGGGCCTATATTATGGTGGGGGCCAGGAGCTGCAGCTCCAATAGCCCCTCCGTTCATCCGCCCCTGTCCCAGTCCCATAAATATAAGGAAACCCGTTCCATCTCCCTGCACACCGCTCTGTACACAGCTCATCCTCTACACCCTCTCAACTGCCCCACTGCGCAGTCGCACACATCAATCTGTCCAGCACAGCACTACCCCTCCCTCTCACTGCCTACATTTCTCTGCTCCACCCTTGTCACGTGGCTGTTAGCCATCCCGGCGTCTACCCTTAGCGGAGGGGCGTGGCGGCGTGAGCGTGGGTTGCCGCAGTGGGAGAGTGACGTTGTCCAGTGTGGGGTAAAGTGGCCCGGAGGAGTCATTTACAATCCAGGAAGTGTGCGCAGTGCCGGCTTGTAGAATGGGGGAGTGTGGTGAGAGGAGCGGACTTCCCGGGCTCGTCTGGTGATGCTTCTGGGTCTGTGCGGTCGGAGGACACTGGGCAGAGTTCATGGCTTGATGACAACGTCATACTTCAGTGTTAGACCGAGGAGGAAGATGTCATACAGCATGGAGCAGCGCCTGGTGTGGGTGGACCTGGAGGTGAGCGGGCTCTGGGCTCACTGATCAGTGAGTTGGCGATTTTGGTGACGAATAAAGAAGAACTCCAGGCTGGATGGTATTCCATTATGTTGTATTGATCCAGCTGGGACCACTATAAGTCTACATATGCTGTCCTGACATAACCTACATAACCTGTCCTTCCAACCCCATGTCCAATCGCTAGCAAGCTCATGCAGGCTCCACCTCCGTAACATGTCCAAGATACGTACGTTCCTAACCCCAGACACCACTAAACAACTCGTTCACTCCCTCATCATCTCACGGCTCGACTACTGCAACTCCCTCCTCACCGGCCTACCTCATCACAGACTATCCCCGCTTCAGTCTATCCTGAACTCAGCGGCCAGACTCATCCTCCTTACCAACCGCTCCTCTTCTGCCACCCCCCTCTGTCATTCCCGCCACTGGCTCCCGATTGCCCAACGCATTAAATTCAAACTACTAACATTGACATACAAAGCCATTCATAATGCTGCCCCGAACTACCTCACCTACCTGATACCCAAATACCACCCAACCCGTAATCTTTGCTCCTCACAAGACCTCCTACTCTCTAGCTCCCTGGTCTCCACCTCCCACGCCTGACTGCAGGACTTCTCCAAGACTTTCCCCATCCTCTGGAACTCACTACCCCAATCCATCAGACTGTCCCCTACCCTCCTCACCTTTAGGTGCACCCTGAAAACCCATCTCTTAAGGGAAGCCTACCCCACCCTCACCTAACTGCCGATCTCCTCCACTCCTCCTACCACTCCATCCCCCATATCCACTTCCTCCTGTGCCACTATCCCCTCCCTCCTAGATTGTAAGCTCGAAAGGGCAGGACCCTCCAACCCCTCGTGTACTGTTTTGTTACTGTATTGTCTCATGTACTATCCCCCACTATAATGTAAAGCGCTGAGCAAACCTTTTGGCGCTATATAAATACTGTATAATAATAATATGCTATATGTACCACACCTGTGTGTATTCCACGCCTGTGTGTGCCGCATCTGTGTATTCCACGCCTGTGTGTGCCGCGTCTGTGTATTCCGCGCCTGTGTGTGCCGCGTCTGTGTATTCCACGCCTGTGTGTGCCGCGTCTGTGTATTCCACGCCTGTGTGTGCCGCGTCTGTGTATTCCACGCCTGTGTGTGCCGCGTCTGTGTATTCCGCGCCTGTGTGTGCCCGCGTCTGCGTATTCCGCGCCTGTGTGTGCCCGCGTCTGCGTATTCCGCGCCTGTGTGTGCCCGCGTCTGTGTATTCCGCGCCTGTGTGTGCCCGCGTCTGTGTATTCCGCGCCTGTGTGTGCCCGCGTCTGTGTATTCCGCGCCTGTGTGTGCCCGCGTCTGTGTATTCCGCGCCTGTATGGCTCTCCTTGTATACAAGCGTTCCACTATTTAGACATTTGTACAATCTTGGAATTGGCGCATGTGGCACCATGTAACCTAATTGCCGGGGCTTCCCCCAATGGCTTTTAAATACCCGAATTAGAAAGGGAGAGAAAGCATGCTTGAAAAAAGAATTGCTCGCAGTGAAGTGGAAGGACAAAGGGGATGTTTTCGTCCTGTCTTCCATTCACGCAGACACGATCATCCAAATTTCCATGGCAGCTGGTGTTGAGAAGCCCCTCTGTGTCCACGATTATAACCTTAACATGGGAGGGGTGAACTTCAATGACCAGATGATGACGCCGTACTTAGTTTCCCATAAAGCCAGACGCTGGTAGAAAAAATTGTCTATTTCAATTGGCTCTGTGCAACGCTTTTGTACTTTACTTACAAAGCAACTGGACGTAGTGGATCCTTCCTAAAATTCCAGGAAGAGATGATCACGGCTCTTTTGTATCCAGAAGGTGCTGTGGCCCAAACCCCAACCCAGATGCAGTGAGCTGACTGCATGAGAGACATTTTCCTGATGCCATTCCTGGTACCCCAACAGAAATATCGCCCCTAAAAAAAGATGTGTCTGTAGCAGACATGAAATTAGGTGTGACATCTGCTTATTTTGTCCCCCTTTCCTGGACTCTGCCTCAAGGACTGCTTCCATCGCTACCACGCACTAATGGAGTATTAATATAAGGTACAGCACGGCACAGTCTAGGATATATATATATACACATACAAAGGGTTTCGAAAGACATTAGGTAGTCAGGAAACTGGCTGTCGTATTTTCAGAGACCCTGATATCTGGAGTTGACAGTTGTAAAAAAACAGTTTTTGTTTTATTGAGTTATGATTTTCTTGTTAACCAGTTCCCAACCGCGCTATGGCCGAAGGACAGCTACAGCGTGGTTGTATGGTTCTGGGACAATGTCTATGGACATCATTTCAGAACATGCACCCAGCGCAGTTGGTGATCGCTGTGTCCTACGGACACAGCTGATCACGTCATACGTTAAATGGCCAATCACAGCGGCCTTTTACCATGTGATCAGCTGTGTCCAATGACAAAGCAGATCTCCGGGCAAATACAGTTGCCGGCTATCGGCTGCACTTTCCTCACACTGTCATAGCATGAGGAAAGTACTGCCGAAAACCGGCAATTGTCAGCGAAGGGATCAGCACTGAATAACAGGGCACTGATGATCAGTGCCGCCTATCAGTGCAACATCATCAGTGTTTATCAATGCCACCTAACAGTGCCCAGCAGTGCTGCCTATCCGTGCCACAATGTTGCATGACCGCGCAATTGTCTTTCAAAGTGCGACCGCTGAAAGCTGAAAATTGGCCTGGGCAGGAAGGGGAGTAGAAGTGCCCAGTAGGCAAGTGGTTAACCATTGCTGTTTTCGTTGCAGTAATGCCATTTAGCTGCAGCACTGTTTATTCTGACAGCAACCAGGTCTTGCCCTCAGAACATATGTCAGTGTGTGTAGTGCTGTTGGAAGATATATATATATATATATATATATATATATATATATATATATATATATTTATTACGCCCAATCATGGGAGCCTGGGGTGGTCAGTGGGTGGATTGCTCCTATGCTTTGGCATATATTTAGAACTTTTTTCGGCAGGTCTCTTTATCCACACTGACCGATGTGAATAGAGAAATCTTTTAGGTTCTCCTTTTCTTTTTTTTTTTTTTTTTTTTTTTTATTCAGCCTACAAATTTCATATATGCCCAACATTAGAAGTGGGTGGATGCAGGGTGGTATATTCTAATGGTGGGCATATCACACACTTTTTCTGGCAGAGATTTCTTCTTTTTTTTTTTTTATCTGCATTCAGCCCACAGGCTGCTTAAGAAAACATAACATATATACCCAAGGATCAGTGACGTACTGGTACATCAGTGGACTTTGAGTTTTTTTTTTTTTCAGCCAGCGATCGGCTTTCATTTAAAAGAAATCCTAGTGACTAATTAGCTGCAGGATTGCTTTTACAAGCAGCGGGAGAAGATGCCCCCCTTCCTCCCGCTGCCTTCCACGGCTTTCTCGGACAATCCCATGACATCGGGGAACCTGAGATTGCAGCTGGCGTTTCTGCCAGTTGACCATATAGCTGATTGGAGACTGGAATGGTGCCAATCATCTCTATAGTCTAAGAAACTGGAAGCTATGAGATTTTCATCACTTCAGTTTCGCCAGACATAAACAGCGCCATTTGTAAATTGGGAAAGCATCTGATCACACCGATCTTGGTAAGATCAGATGATTTACTGCCAATTGCCATCACAGGGGATATTTACATACCCTGTGATAACAATAAATGTGATCAAAAAAATAAAAGGGACAGTGTTAATAAAAATTAAAGCGCACATGTTTGGAAACATTGCTGTGCAAGTACTATGTGACATAAAAAATTGCAATACCCACCATTTTATTCACTAGAACATCTGCTTTAAAACTATATATAATGTTTGGGGGTTCAAAGTAACTTTCTAGCAAAAATACTTTTTTTTTTTTTTCCATGTCAACAAAAAGTGTCAGAAAAGGCTTGGTCTTCAAGTCCACAAGCTTCAAATGTTAGGCATAACATGCCAAGATAACACCCCCCACGACCCCTTTTTTTTGAAAAGTAGATACCCCAAACTATTTGCTGAGCCATGTTGTCAATAGAATTTATTTTTTTACCACAAGTTTTTGAAAAATGACAAAAGTTTTTTTTTTTTTTTTTTACACAAACTTGTCACTTAAATGATCTATTGCTCACACATGCCATGTATATGTGTGAAATTATTCCCCCAAATACATTCTGCTACTTCTGCCAAGTATGGGGGTACCACATGTGAGAGACTTTTTGGCAGTCTAGCCAAGTACAGGACTCCAAAATCCAATAAGCACCTTTGGGCTTTTAAAGGGCTTTATTTCCTCATTACACTTCCTGACTACCTATCACATTTTCGGAGGCCATGAAATGCCAGAATAGTACGACACCCCAAGGAATTTGCTAAGAGGCAAGGTGAGTATTTTGCAGATCTCATTTTTTTGCCAAAAATGTTTGGAAAATGAAGAAGGAAAACGAAAACATATATATTTTTTTTTTTCAAAACCTTGTGAAATAAGATGGGATCTGCAAAATACTCTCCATGCCTCTTATTAAATTCCTTGGTGTGTCTACTCTCCAAAAAGGGGTTATTTGGAGGGGGGGGGGGGGGTGGTTTGGTGCCATCCTGACCGTTCAGGGCCTCTGAAACTGTGATGGGTAGTGAGTACACCATGATTGGTTTCAGTGGAGGTGCTACCCCATTGTTGGTCTCCGTGGGAGGAATAGTGCCCCAAGACCAGATTAAGGGTAGCAAAGGGCCATATCCAGCCCTCGAGCCACAGTTTGGAGACACCTGCTATAGACCCTTCTGGTGGCCTGTGTGTTAAAACTCTCTACAACATGACTGCTGCAGGTATCCAAAACATCCGGGTGTGTGGAGTATCTGCCACAGCTGCACACTGTGCTACTTTACATTACTACAGGACATATGAGCCAGTGGGGTGGAACCACAGCATGTGGCATGGGGAGCAAGGCATTCAACATAGTCAAATAACTGCATATGTC